CGACGCCGTGAGGTGATTCCCTGTGCCCCCGCAGTCCTGTGGATGCGGGAGTCCCTTATACGGTAGAAATTCCACGTGGATGAAATGTCAGAATGGAGATGATCTAGGGCAGCCTCCGTTTTAAGAAAGCCCTTCCGCGCTCCCTTCCCTGCAAGGAGCTCATTTGGGCGAATATAGTTATGCGGAAGCTCCGTGTGGTTTCCATAGTATATGAAACCATTATCGGCGTGCCTCTTTACGTGCAAACTCCACGTGGGTATCCATCGGAGGTGTACCCCATTGCAGGGTGGGCTCCAGTATATGGAAGTTCTGTGGGGTAGCCCTCATTTTACAGAAATGTCTTCCAGGCATCCCTCGTAACGTGAAAATTTTATGAGGGAGCCCCAATCGGGTATTCTCATTGAATAGAAATTCTGCACTCCAGAATTCTCTCATTGGACGGAATTACCTCCTAGTCACCTGTCCTGAAATGGAAACGTGTATAGATAGATGCCTCATTCAGATGTTACGTGAAACCTGCATGTGGGTTTTTCTTGTTACATGGAAATTCCACACGGGTGCCCTTACGTGGCATGGCCACAAGGTGGCGCGACCCGGGAGCTGGCGCAGGCAGCCGGGCCGGCTCACAGCCCTGAGCCCACTCCCTGCCTCCGCAGATTCGCGCGGAGGACCGCTTCCTGCGCACCGAGCAAGGCCTGCTGCTCCGCGCCCTGCAGCTCAGCGACCGCGGCCTGTACTCCTGCACGGCCACCGAGAACAACTTCAAGCATGTCGTCACACGAGTGCAGCTGCACGTACTGGGCCGGGACGCTGTCCATGCCGCCCTCTTCCCGCCCTCGGCTGTGAGCGCCCCGCCGCCCCCAGGTGCCGGCCCCCCGACGCCTCCATACCAGGAGCTGGCCCAGCTGCTGGCCCAGCCAGAAGTGGGGCTCATCCACCAGTACTGCCAGGGCTACTGGCGCCATGTGCCCCCCAGCCCCAGGGAGGCCCTGGGGGCACCTAGGCCTCCTGAATCCCAGGAACAGAAAAAGCCCCGGAACCGCCGCCACCACCCGCCGGACACATGAGGCCAGCTGTCTGAGCCCCCAAATGGGCCAGCCTAGCCCTGCCCCTTTTAATATAAAAGATATATAGATATATATATATATAAAAAAATATCTATATTCTATACACACCCTGCCCCTGCAAAGACAGTATTTATTGGTGGGTTGTATATAGCCTGCCTCAGCGGCAGCATCATCCAAAACTTAGACCCATGCTGGTCAGAGACGGCAGAAAACAGAGCCCACCTAATCATGCCCAGCCAGTTGGCAGGGCCAGGCCAGGCCCGCACAGTCCCCCAGACTCAGCTGGGCGTCCACCTGCTCGACAGCCACCGCTGGGATCTCCGGGACACAGGGAGGGAGCACGGACTGTACACCTTTGCCAGCGCTGCTGTCAACCTGAGCCGTCGGCAGAGACGTGGATTCGAGGACTGCTTTGGAGACTGGGGGTGGGAGAGGGGCTCAGATGCACTCAGAGAGGGAAGAAGGGGCCGTCACAGGGTGCCGGCCCCTGCCTAGGAGTGGGGCACTCGGTCAAGGCCAGCCCCTTCCCGGGTATTTATTCTCTATTTATTGGGGACAGGAGAAGAGCCCCGCGTGGGGCGGCAGCCCCTCCAGCCCCTCCTCGCTTCCCTGCCTGGCCCCTCCACCTCCTCTTCGCTTATTCTGTGCCACTGTGACTCGGGGCCTGGAAGAAGAGCAGAGGGGCCAGGCAGAACCAGGGCTGAGGGGCGAGAGGGCCATGGTGGAGGCCCAGGGCCTGCAGGGGCTCCCCACAGCTCCCTTCTGCCCACCACTTCAGATGATGGGTGTAAATAGCTCCGGGGGGCAGTTGGGTAGATGGACGGGGGCTCCCGGTGGCCCTCTGCCGCCCAGACCACAGCCGCTCTTGGGTTCCATCTTGTTAATAAACACTGGCTCTGGGACTGGGCTTTGGCTTCTCTCCTGGGCAGGGGAGGAATGGTTGGGGGGGGGGTTCAGTGCACTCCAGATCCTGTTCTTCCTGCCCCCCCCCGTTTGCCACGGCCGCCAGTTCCCACACGTTCTCTTTTGCATGTCCAGCTTCCATTTGCTCATTCAATTGTTTGATCATTTGTTCAACCTCCTTCCTCACCTGGTTTTGAGTCCAGCCTTGTGCCAGGCACTAAGGACTCAGAATCGGCTGGACAAAGCCACAGCCCTCACAATCCAGCTACCACCGCCCCCCGCCCTGAGAAACAACAAAATGCCCATTCTTCCTGCCTCTTTCCAGCCAGCTCCCAGCCGAGGGTCCGGCATGAGCCAATGAGCAGAGTTGGGGAGACCAGGGTAGGTGAGGAGCTGCTGGAGAGGAGAAAGCGGGGTTGGGCAACCTCCAAATGCAGCGAGTCGGACCCTGGCAGGAGGAGCTAAAAGCTGGTGAGGCCTGTGGGTCCAGCAGGGCTTAGGGCCATACTTGATGGCAATGGGAATCTCGCAGGTACTGGGAGGCAGGGGATTGACCCATTTAAATACCTAACATGCAGAAACCAGGTTTTTATTGATTTAACAAACCTGGGCTCTTGCGCCACTCCAAACCCCTAGGAGTGTGTAAGGGGCTGCAGGGCTCACGTATAATGTGGGAGGTGGAGGATGAATGGAACCCAAAGGCTGAAAATGGCACAAGTGATCTGTTGCTCCGGGACAGATTCTCCTTCCCCGAACGGGGTAGATGTTGAAGTCCATGGTAGGAGCCAGTATCCATGCCCACTGAGTTAGAGACAATCTTCAATCCTTGGTGTCTGGGGTCCTGGCACCCCCTTGTGGTCTCTTGGGTTGCAAACAGTCGAGTATTAAAAGGCAGCCAGGTTTCCAGGAGTCCAACCAAGAGGCTCAGGGACCCTGGAGGGTCCCAAGGTCTGGGCCCTGTGGTGGGAGCTGGCAAATCTCCAGAGCCTGGGAACTCAGCACTACAAGCTCAGCTGACCCGCTTCTGCCCCGCAGTATACCCCGTCCAACCTGAACCTGCACACAGACCTCAGTCCCCTAAGCTGAGGCAGGCAGGTCCCAGAGCACCTACAGGGGACAGAACAGGAGCAAAGCAGATGAGCCCCCACCCCTCCATGCCCCTGGGAGTCCTAGACCTGCTCTGGGACTCAGTTTCCCAAACTGACAACAGGCCAGCAAAACATTCCCTGGAAAAGCCTGGCCACTTCTGCAGGTCAGAGACTTTGTTGCACCCCTGGGACTTGAGGTTCTTTTCTCCCTTTTCTGAGCTGGACTCCATCAAACATGTCTCTCTGCCTTCAGGGTCTCTCCTGGAGGGTTGGTGCAGGGCGGATAGAGGGGGTGCAGAGTCAGCAGTTGAGGGATTGGGGCCACGCCAGCCTGATTAGAAGAACTGGGGGCTGAGCTGGATTCACCTGTCCTTGTCTCTGATTGGCTCTTGGGTACCCCCAGCACCCAAATCCCACTAAGCAGCCCCACCAGGGCCTGCACAGGTCCGTGGAGAGCCAGTCGATTGCCAGTCCTGGGGCCAGAAGGGTGTCCAGGGAGGCCAGAGGCTGGCCTGAGCCTGGCTCTGGGCATCCCTCCATCCAGCAGAGCCAACTGACCACCGCATTCCTTCACCTGCTGCCGGGGCCATGGGGGCTGGGGCCAGCGCAGAGGAGAAGCACTCAAGGGAGCTAGAAAAGAAGCTGAAAGAAGATGCTGAGAAGGATGCTCGCACCGTGAAACTGCTGCTTCTGGGTAGGGATGTGGGCGCAGATGGGGCCACTGCCACCAGGTCAGAGGCCCGGGGTCAGGCAGGTGGCCCTTCTGCGAAGCAGGGGGGTGACTGGGGAAGCAGAATGAGCCTGCAATTGGACAGGGCCTGACAGGCGATGCCCTGGCTCCCCAAGACTTGCTATGCCATGGCACCCCTCTCCAGAGGGCCTGCCTCAGGCAGCCTCTGCCCCAGAGAAGTGTGTGCCCGCCACTCTCGTAGAGGTGTGGGTACAGCCACTTTTGCCCTGGCTGGGCTCCCTGGAGCTAGAGCCTTTGGCTTGATAGGCCTGCTGGGCAGGGCTCAGAAACCAGGGGTCTCCTTGGGATCAGCACTATAGGGCTGCTCCCTTGGGAAGGAGAAGGTCACAGTTGTCCTGAAAGTGGGAAGCCTCTAGGACCGCCCGGAGCCACACACAATGGCCCTCGGTTTCCAGAGCTTTACTGTTGGCAGATCTGCAAAGCAGCTAAAGGGGGCAGAGGGATACTAAGGCCCAGTGGGGAATAGATAGGCCACGCCCATGCCCCCATGGTGGTGAGGGGACATGGGACTGACCCAGTGCCTCTAGGCCACTGCCTCCCTCAAGGGGAAGAAGGAGCTGCTCCGAGAGGACAGTGCAGACTCCATCCAGGCTCTCCAGAGTCCAGTCAGGCAGCTGGATGTAGGCAGAGAGACCAAGCCATGGTGCCCAGGGAAGACAGAAAAGCTAAGCTGACAATCCCATTAACTGTGCCCAACACCCTCGCGAGAGCAGGCTTACAGGGGCTGTCAGCTCTGTCTCTCCCCCATCCAAAGGCGCTAATTCCCTCAGAGCCTCTTGGAGACACTCCCCTCCCACCCCAGGTGAAAAGCTGGGTTGACCCGGCTCAAATAATCCCCTGTGTACAGTACCAGTTATTTTCACAAGGTGGCGCTCCAGGCTTTTTAATTTTGGTCTCAGAATAATAAAGACTGCGTATACCAGCCTCTTGGAGGTTCCCCAGCACAACTGAGGTCTTTGAGCCCCTTCATCAGCCTTTTTTTGACATTTATAAACGTTCTTCTGCTAGAGTGGCAGGACCTTACTTTGGGGGACGAGGGGAAAACAGGTGGGAATGGAGGCTGAGCTGGTGCTCTGAGTCTGTCCGGCCGCATTGCGGGGAGTGGGGGGAAGTGGCGGGGCGCGGCAAAGGGGTAGGGAAGAGGGGCGGTCAGGGCACCTCTGAGCCGAGGCTTCCCTTCCAGGTGCCGGTGAGTCCGGGAAGAGCACCATTGTCAAGCAGATGAAGTGAGTGCCCCCCGGCCAGTTCGGAGGCCCCTAAGGTGGGGGGTGGAGGGGACGTACACACAGGGCCTATCCTTCCCCACCTGAGCACGAGGCACTGATTCCGGCTTGCCCTGGCCGCAGAATTATCCACCAGGATGGGTACTCGCTGGAAGAGTGCCTCGAGTTCATTGCCATCATCTACGGCAACACGCTGCAGTCCATCCTGGCCATCGTGCGCGCTATGACCACGCTCAACATTCAGTACGGAGACTCTGCGCGCCAGGTGGGCCAGGAGGGGGGCCGAGCGCGGTCTCTGGGGACTCGAGGCGCGGGACCAAGTCCCCGGTCGCCACCAACCACTCCTACCCTGTCCCCAGGACGACGCCCGGAAGCTGATGCACATGGCGGACACCATCGAGGAGGGCACGATGCCCAAAGAGATGTCGGACATCATCCAGCGGCTGTGGAAGGACTCGGGTATCCAGGCCTGTTTCGATCGCGCCTCGGAGTACCAGCTCAACGACTCCGCCGGCTAGTGAGCGCGCAGGCGGGGCGCGGGGGCGCGGGCGGAGCCTTGCCACGCCCATGCACCCCTCCCACCCACACCCTCTTGTCTCCCGCAGCTACCTCTCGGACCTGGAGCGCCTGGTAACCCCGGGCTACGTGCCCACTGAGCAGGACGTGCTGCGCTCGCGAGTCAAGACAACCGGCATCATTGAGACACAGTTCTCCTTCAAGGACCTTAACTTCCGGTACGACCCCAAGCCCTGATCCTCGCTTTGGGGCCCTGAGGACGAGTTCACCACTCGGAGGCCTTTCCCATCACGGTGGCCCCATCCCTAGAGAGCCACTGCCGCCTTCTCGGATACTGGAACCTCAGAAAGGCCCGGCCCCTCCAGACGCCAGTCGCGTCTGAGTGCGCGCCAGCCAGCATTGGGAGGCGAGGGGGTGCCTGCCGGCGCGTCCAGGAGGCACGACGCGCAGGTTCAGGCCCCATCCGCCCCACAGGATGTTCGACGTGGGCGGGCAGCGCTCGGAGCGCAAGAAGTGGATCCATTGCTTCGAGGGTGTGACCTGCATCATCTTCATCGCAGCCCTGAGCGCCTACGACATGGTGCTGGTGGAGGACGACGAAGTGGTGAGTGCCAAGCAGGACCTGTGTTTGAGGTCCGTGGAAAGCGGGAGACACTGCTGCGGGAGCGGGGAGCGTCTGGGAGGGGACATTCGTTCCAGAGCCATCTGAAGGAGGAGAGGAGGCAGCCAGCAGTCTCGCTAAGGGGTGTTCCGGGGGACACTGACCCGAAGCTGGCAGCGGGGAGGCACCGGTGCACCGGAGCCCAGAGGGGAGGGGTCGCTGCCCGTGTCCCCTAGTGCCGGACGGTTTCTGCCCTCCTTAGAACCGCATGCACGAGAGCCTGCACCTGTTCAACAGCATCTGTAACCACCGCTACTTCGCCACCACGTCCATCGTACTCTTCCTCAACAAGAAGGACGTTTTCTCCGAGAAGATTAAAAAGGCGCATCTTAGCATCTGCTTCCCCGACTACGACGGTGAGACTCCCGGACCGGCCGCCAGGGGGCGCCCCACGCCCACGATCTCGGTCTGCGCTCCTCCGGTCCGCAAGGATTTGGGACAGGGAGTGAGAGCACCTTTCCCCGCCAGGGCCCAACACGTACGAGGACGCCGGCAACTACATCAAGGTGCAGTTCCTCGAGCTCAACATGCGACGCGACGTGAAGGAGATCTATTCCCACATGACGTGCGCTACCGATACTCAGAACGTCAAGTTTGTATTCGATGCTGTCACTGATATCATCATCAAGGAGAACCTCAAAGACTGTGGCCTCTTCTGAGGTGGGCTCCTCTCAGCTGATGCTCCCCTGTGCTGCCCCTTGGTCACAATGCCTCAGCCCTAGCCCCAGCTCCCCGGATCCCACCTCACTACAGTAGACCCGCCGCAGCTCTCCGGACCCACTCCACTGTCTGGCCCCTAACTCCCAGATTCCAACCCGGCTCCTCAGGCTCCACCCCACTGCCACAGGCCCCTCCCCTGGCTCACAAGTCCCACCCACTTAATTTCTTTGACTGGGCCCCAACCCCTCCCCAGGTGTCACTGCTTCCAAACCCACCTCCACAATGTCTCCCAGCCTAAGCTCAATTATTTGGGGGCTGGGGATATTGACAAGGTTCTTTCTTCTTTTCCCAGGTTACGGAACTCATGCGCGTCCTGAGACCCTGTAGCCCTAGCTGCCTTGTAGCCCCAGCCGAAAGGACCCTATCAAACCCCCCAGGACTCCTGGGCCCCAGTCTGTGGTCCCACCAGCCACAGACCCAAAACCCTGAGCCCCATTAGCCTCGAGGCCCTGCCCCTTCCCCGTGACTCCCAGGCCTCCCAGAGTCCATGCCCCCAACCCCAGCGCTGCCCTTCACGGCCGGACTGCACTGGCCTCCAGGACCCACCACAGCCAGCCCCAGCTAGGAACAGGCAGGACTTGGGGCAGCGAGAACACACAGTGACTCAGCAGTGCCCGACTGACCAATCTCCTGCAGCTCTCCTGCCCCAGGGGGCCTATGACTCATGAGGTGGGTCTGGGGTCAGCAAATAGCCCTCTGCCCAGAGTTTCATGAAGGGCAGGGGGGCAGGTGAGGATCCCTCCTCCAAGCAGGCCTGCTGCTTACCATCAGCTCGATCCAGCCTTACCGCCGCCATGTGACAAGTCTGACACCTGTCTACCCAGTGGCCAGTGACTATCCCTCCCAGCAGCTTCAGGGGTCCAAAGTCTAAGCCAGCTCTGGCCTGAGTAGCTCCTACGTAGATTAGTTAGTGAGTAGGGGCAGGCCTGGGAGCCCCTGGGTGCTAGGGAGAGACTCAAGCTGGACTCTTCCCCACATACCAGGCTCAGAGTAACTCCGTAGCCCCTTCCCCCACAGTCTCTGCCCTCTGTCCTTGGACACCAGATCCACGTCCTCGCTCAGCCACCCACCCACAGTACTCCAGGCCAGCCTGCCAAGGGGATGGTCTGTTGAGGGAGGGTACTGTTGACACCAACTGTGGCCAATGGTCAAACTGTCCTGAGGGGTGGCTGGGGCAGAGTCCGGCTCCCATCGATCAGCCCCAGGCAGAGAATGTGGGACAGGACAGAGGCCTAGGCTGTGCCCAGAGGGGTCTACCTCAGGTGGGGTCACAAGCAAACCCAGGTGACCGTCGTCTCTGTCAGCAGTTTCTCTCACCCTTTCTATTCAGAGCCCATTCCCTGGCAGGAAGAACTGAGGGCCATGCCTGAACCATCAGGGACAAAGGCCCATGTCCCCACATCCCCGCTCCCTACTTCTCATCAATCGTCAGGTCCTTGCTGATGCCCATGGCCAGGTCCTTGCTGATGCCCATGGGCCGGGGCGAGGACAGGAGCTTTCATCTAGCAAGGCCAGGGCACGATTTGCACTTCCCTCAGCTAGATGCACCGACTCAGCAATAAACCTTTGCATCAGGCCCCGGCTGTCCTTTCTTGGGGGAAGGGAGAGATTGGTAATTATAATGAGTCATGAGCACTTATGAAGTGCCCAGTGGAGGGCTGGACAGGTATGGGAAGACAATTCTTTCCAGGCTGAAGCGCCTGGCCTGACATGACACTCTGGGGAGCATGGGACCAACTTGTGCCCCTTGGGGAGGGGGTGAGGGTGAGAGGAGCCATGGAAAATGTTTGCGAGGATAGTCTTGGATCAAGAGGGAGTTTCGAAATGGAAGGTCATTCTGGCAAGAACAGTAGGGTGTATAAGACATAGGAACACGGGCTTGGGGGCCACTGGAGTTCAGTGGAGCAGGAGCAGGGAAGGGGGACATATGCCTGAGAACGGGGCTTCCTCCACAAGGGTCTTGGAAACCTTTGAAGCTAGGACATAATTGCCGGCCTGGGATAAGGGTGAGGCAAATGACGCATCACTCCCGGTGCAAAATTAAGGTGGTACCCAAAATTTCAGGAATCAAGATAAATAATACATCAATGCCAGAATTTAAAAAATCAGAATGACTGTCCCCCAAAAGTCCACGATGCACAAAATAAAAAAAACTCTAAATATAGACAAGATCCAAGAGAGCCCTGCCAAGCCACGTTGGTGCCATTTTGGATTCTAAAGCAAAAGCAAAAATGTCCACTCCTATATATGGTCTTATGTATTTTTAAGGGTTAATATTTTTACAGAGCTTTAAAGTAGTTGAAAAAAAAAACATTGAAATAATTGACAGTAGGTATATTAAAACTGAAAGCATTATTTTAACCTTCAATATTTTACTTATACCTAAAACAGAATTTATAATTTTATTTCCCTGGCTTTAATGGAAATAAAATCATCAATGATATTTTTCAATTTGCTTCGGGGAAAAATAATCGTTAAAAAATTTCATAAAACATGTATATAGGGGCACACATTTTTCCTGGGGGCCGGTGTGAGCGGGGGTGAGGAAGGTGAGAAGTGTGGCTGGTGGATCCAGGAGGAAGATGTGTGTCCTCATTACCCGGCGGGGCCAGGATCTGCAAGAGGTGAGGCTCAGCGACGAGGGTCTGAATCCGTGCAGTTGACCTAGTGCCCATGATGCCCCCACCGAGCTGGGACTACAGAGGAATATCGAAGGCACTGAGTTTTTCAGACCTGTGGCCACTCGGGGGAAATGTCCAAGAGGTAGATAGATAGCTGAGGCTGGGCAGAAGGCAGCGTGTGGACAGTATCTTCAATGTCCAGGTGGAGAGGGGAGCTGTGGCCCTGGGGGGGCGTGGCTAGAAAGGGGAGAGTGAGGGTGCCCAGATCTGAGCCCAGCGTGGGGGGTGGGCACTGCTAGGTTAGGGAGCCCAGGCCTGAGGGGAAGTTAGGGCGCGGGCCAGTGGTTTAGGACCCCACTGGGTGGTCTTGGACCCTGCCGATCTGGGGCTGCTCATCTCAACTAAAGACCCTCTGTCTGAGCAGTTTACTGGACTAGGGTGGAGCTGGGGAGAGTGACAGAGGGATTTAATGGCGAGAGTCAAGGCAGAAGACTTGGAGGAGTTGGAGGTGGTTGGCTAGAGAGAGAAGACGCTGTCAGGTGAGGTGGGTTAATGGCGTCTGCCGCATGGCCGCCTCGTCTTGAAAGGAAGGTAATGAGCTTCCCAGCCTTCCTGGACGAGGGGCAGAGAGAAGCCCAACACCATGTAGGGGCTGGACTTCACCCTCCATGACGTCCCCTTTCATACATGGTTCTGACCACAGAGTCTGGGATTTGAGACCCATATACCTTGGTCCCAGGGGCTGGGGACACTACCTGGCCTCAAGCTACTCTGTCCATGGCTGCAGGCTTCCACGGCCCCACTCACCACTCTGTGTAATTACACCCTAAGGAGCAGGATCAGTGGGTGCTCAATGCCTGATTCATGGTCCAGGGCGGAAGAGGAGAGAGAGCTGGCCCAGAGTCAGACTGTGGCCACACCCTAATCTTGTAGGTAGGGGTCACTGACTGTGGGCACCTACAGCCACCACCATCTCTGCCTGACCTGCAACCTCAAGGTGCCCCTGAGGGCCGTCCTGGCCTTCGGCTCTGGCTCTGGCGGGACTAACCTGGCCCGGCCACTGACCAGAGATTAGACAAGCCTGGCAGACGGTTAATGCCACTGACGTCAGGGCCTGGTTGGGTGGCCACTGGAGGCTTGACCTCTCCCCACAGGCAGTAGCTCTACCCACGTGACCTGGGTTCATTAAGCCGCTTCAGTGGCCAGAGAAGCTGGGGGCCAGATCTCAGGGGAGAGAGGGAGGGCATGCCAGGACTGTGGGGGGCAGGCTCAGCCACGAGGTCACTAGCTCTGGGGATCCAGGCTAGGGAAGGGCCGGAGAAGAAAGCCCCTCGATACTTCCACTCATTGTATTGTGCCAACTAAACCCTCGCTCGCGCTCAAGAAGAAGTCCCGGACACCTAACTGGGCAGAGTATAGCCAGGAGCTGTAAGCATGGGTCCTCCCCACTGCGGAGCAACCCCCCAACACGACTCCAGGCCAAGTGTCCTGCCTCCGCACGCAGCCCTGCGCCTCTCGGTGCTAATCTCACACTCACTTCAAGTTTCCCCGTGGCCAAGCTGTTTCTCCCATGCAGAGTGCCCTTCTCTTCCCCACCCTGGCATGGGCCTCTCTTCCCCTGGCAGAGCCAAGCCCACGGGCTGCTTCTTCACCAGGCTTTCCCTCCAACCTGGCCAGAGCTTCCCTAGCTGCACGCCCCGTAGAGAGCGCTTCGAGATGCTGAGGCTGGGGCTATGTGGGTGGATGGCACCAGCAGCCGCAGGAAGCATAGGAAGAGCTGGCTCTTCCCAGTGGCTCGGGCAGGATTCTCAGAGGTGATCTTCCACTTGGGTGCTGAAGGACAAGTAAGAGTTTGCTAAGGGGGTGGGACAGGTTGGGGAACCAGAGGGACAGAGGCATAGGAAAGTGAAAGCAGAAACGTGTGTGGCCCGCTGGGCAGTGGGGAGGTGGCGAGGCCACCTGGGAGAAGGAGCGGGCTGGCAGGATGTCAGGGAGGCCAGCTGGGTGTAAAGCAGGGCATCCGAGGAGTCAGTGGATACGGATGCTGGGCTCTGGGGGGAATGGGGTTGGAGGTGAAGGTGGGGCCTCACAAGTAGAGAGGGTCTTGGTGCATCGTGTGAATGGTGTGCCAAGGGAGGGGGTGGCGTGGTGAGAGGGGGCTGCCTGGCTGGAGGCCAGGGACATGACTGAAGAGGAAGAAGACAGCGAAGGGCCGCCAGGACCCTGGAATGAGGGTCTGAGCCATCCTGGGACCCTCAGTTCTGCCCCACGTGTCTGGCAGTCTCTTGGGCCTGTGTCTCAGTTTCTAAAGATGGGGAAGTAGAGGTGGGGCTGGGCAGAAGCCTGAGATAATGCTTCCCCCAGCCTCACTCCAGGCGGCCGCCCTCAACGCTGAGGCCACGTGGATGGACATTCTCTCTGGTCTGTGGGAGAAGGTATCCGGCAGCTCTCAGAGCCCCATCCTGGCTGCCAGCTGTCCGGCCGCCACGGGCTGGGCTGGGAGATTCGGCAGGTGGCAGGAAAGGCCTTGGGCTGTGTTTGCGCTGGCCAGGGCCCAGGCCTAGCATCAACAAACAGGCGGCCCTTCCCCCAGCCTGGTCACAACTGACCTGGTGCAGGGACCCCACATCATGCCACTTCTGGGCCTCTCCCAGCAGCCCAGCCCAGCCAGCTCCTGCTCCCTCCAATTTGGATGGAAGACCTCAACACTCACATACTGGGTGACCTTAAATCCAGGCCTGGGCCCTCGGGAACTGCCAATGGGAGCACACAGCCCTTTGCAAACGGCTTCTGTGAGCATTCGGGATGTCTGTAGGTGGGAACTGAGGGCAGACCTGAGACCCTGGTCAGCACCTCTCCTATTTGACTTTGTCCCACAGGCAGCCCTCAAGCCCCTTTGGACGGTGAGAGTCTTAGGGTCCTTCACGACCAAGGTAGGGATGTCATCTAGGGATGACACCAGCTCCAGATCAGAAGGGAAAACCGGTCCCTTTCATTTTTCAGCCATCGGCAGCACGGGAGCTTGGGTGGTTTGAGGTTTTCGAGGATTGCCACCAACCTAGTCTTCCCAGGCCTCTGGAAATCCCAGCCAAAGCTGAGTCCCCTGCCCTTGGCTCACAGCTTCCCTCCTTCACCCACTCTCCTCAGGCCAGGGAGAAAGACAGAGCCATTTCCTTGTGACGCAGAGGGAAACTGAGGTACACTAAGGCTTGGTTGTGGTGGTGTCGAGAGTCAGTAGGAAGAGAGTCCAGGAGTCCTGACTCTCAGCCCAGGGCAGGGAAGGGGTTAGGCCTCTCCTCTGGGGCCATTCTCCCTAGCACCAGGGACGGGGGCAGACATGACACAGAGACATCCAGCTTGACTAGAAACAGCAGAGGCCGTGGGGTTAATCGGATCAGAGCCTGTGGCTGAGAAGCAAGAGACACAGCTGTTCTGGGACACCCCCTCTCCAGCTCTCCCCAAGGTTTAGGCCTCCCCCCAACTCCCTGCTAGCTGAACCTGGAGGCCTTAACACCCACCAACCACCTCTGAGCACCCAGGCCTTGGGTGAAAAGCAGGTAGGGGTGGGATAAGAGTCCCCGCTGAGAACGGGGTCACCCTAAAACCCCCTGTACTAGGGCACCAAGTCCCAGGCTCCATTTCTCATGGGCAGACTGACAGCTGTCTCCTACTCCTTTGAAATGAGAAAATGGACATGGCCAGGGAGATGCCAGGCAAGGCTGTGAGCCAAACTTGGTTACCCTCCGGTCCTCACCGCCCCTACCCCGCCGCTGCTCGCGGAGGGCGAGGCAGGCACAAACACGCCTGGCCGCCTGAGCAATGTCTGAAAGTCCCCCATTCAAGCACCTTTCACTGAGGCTGACTTGTTACCACTTCCCTTGGCTGAGGAGCCCCTTCTGGTTCGGGGAAGTGAGGGCAGAGCCTTTCAGGGGTTAAGGGGGAAAACTCAAAGGGAATGTGCTTTGGACTGAAGCGTTCCCCCCACAAGACTCGGCCGAGCCCTCCCGGGGCAGCTGTTCTCCTACCGAGGGGCTCTTGAGCGCTCCCGCGGCCGGTTTGCTGGGCTGGCCGGGCCCCAGCCTCTCCCCAGACCAGCCCCTCCTCCCGCGGGCCCACC